ATTATAAGGCATTGGCCGGTAGGGTTAAGACCGAGATAAGAAAAGCAAAGAGGAATAATGAACTGAAGATAGCAAGGGAAGCGAAGACAAACCCCAAAGGATTCTACCAAGTGTATCAAACTAAAACACGAGATAGAATTGGACCGATACATTCAGATACCGGCGAGCTAACTGATAACGACGGAGAAATGTGCAATAATCTGAATAAATATTTTTCAACAGTTTTCACCACCGAAAATTTAAACATGATACCTGTAGTGATGGGGTGTCAGACCACAGCTTACATCTCAGAAACAGTCCAGACCTGACCCTACATCAGGGGGGTCAAGTGTAAGGGTAACCCTCACGGCTGCCCAAGGGTTACAAATCAACCAGGCTCCCCTCCACATGTAACACGGCCCCAACAAATATGTAAGACACACAGTGAGCAAATGAGACACCTGCGGTCCTCCCCCCAATTTACACAAGGGACCTACAGTACATAACAGACAAGGCCCAGACCTATCCTCACATTAACCAGGTAAAATGTAACCCTCGAGCCCAAGTCAAGGGGCCACAAATCAACCAGAGCCTCTCATGTCACACGGCCCCACCAACGATGTTAACAGGCAAGCATTCATCTGAAGATTTCTCCAGAATATACAACAATTTATAGTCTCAGGAAAAAGTCCAAACCTGACCCCACATTAGCGAGGGCAAATGTAAGGAGACCCTTCGCTGCCCCCCCCCCCTTCCCCCGATCAGCTCAACCTGACGGCTGGTCTTCCAATATATAGGACGTCCTAGTCCTCCCTCACGAGAGTGTGTCTTGTAACCAGGAAGGACCAGCTACTATGTCCCCAGTCCCGCTCGAGAGAAGCCCGCCACTAAGTGTAACGAAGTCTCAGCCGGGTCCATCGACAGAGTGCTGTCAACTCAACATGTAACAGTAAGTGCTGGCTGTGTAGATGGTAGAAGTGCGGTGATCCCGAACCTCCCCAACGATCGACTTAGTGAAGTGCCCATTCTAATTGTGAGGTTAGGTTATACGAGAATACCATAGTCTATCATAAATTGTGTACGAACCCCCCCCCCCCATTAATCCCCCCTATTGAACTAGTAAAATAAAGCTGTAACACGCATTGGTGTTTTATATACTACACTTGTACTGTGCCTGTGTTAATATACAGTGTTGACATCACACCCTCGAGACAAGCTACCATTTCCTCTCGCTATAATACTGTACTACTATAAACTCCTAGCTTACTTCTTCATGTGAGATTTTGTCTCATTATATACCCGAGGCACCGACTCTATTCAGAGATAGTGAAGAAAACAAATTAAGCGAGATAGTAGTGACTAGTAACGATGTTAATAAGCAAATAGACAAACTGAAGCCTAATAAGTCACCTGGTCCCGATGAGATATTTGCCAGAGTATTAAAGGAATGTAAGGAAGAGCTTAGTATGCCCTTAGCAAAATTGTTTAACATGTCATTAAAAACAGGTGTAGTGCCAGAATCCTGGAGGATAGCGAATGTAATACCGATTTTCAAGAAGGGGGATAGATCATTATCCTCTAACTACCGCCCAATCAGTCTAACATCAATAGTAGGCAAATTACTAGAATCAATCATTTCAAACTCTATTCGAAACCACCTCGAGAAGCACAAGTTGATCAATGATTCCCAACATGGCTCCACAAGCAGGCGTTCATGTCTAACTAATCTATTAACATTCTTTTCATCATTTTTCGAATCGGTGGACGAGGGGCACAATTATGATGTGGTATATCTCGACTTTAGCAAAGCCTTCGACAGAGTCCCCCACGAAAGACTAATTAGAAAGGTAGAAGCGCATGGCATCAAAGGTAATATCCTTAAATGGATTAGGGCGTGGTTACGGGACAGGAAACAGCGAGTGAGCATAAACGGCACTAAATCGCATTGGAGCAACGTCACTAGTGGAGTTCCCCAAGGCTCATTACTTGGACCAATATTATTTATTATATACATAAACGACATAGATATCGGCATAGACAGCAACATAAGTAAATTTGCTGATGACACTAAAATAGGACGTGTAATTAAATCTGACGAGGACTCTGCAAAACTACAGGAAGATCTTAACAAATTTTTCGAATGGTCGGAAAAATGGCAGATGAAATTCAATGTGGACAAATGTAAAGTACTCAGTATAGGAGATGTAAACAGGATAACCAGTTATCAGATGAAAAACGATGCCATTGTGGAATCCAACTGCGAGAGAGATTTAGGAGTAATGATAAGTAGGAATCTTAAGCCAAGTAAACAATGAGTTTTTGCTCGTAACAAGGCTAATAAAGTACTTGGGTTCATACAAAGGAGTGTTAGTTACAAGACTAGCGATGTCATCTTAAAATTATATCTAGCACTTGTGAGACCTCACCTGGATTACGCAGTTCAGTTCTGGTCACCGTATTACAGAATGGATATAGAATCCTTGGAAAGAATCCAGAGGAGAATGACAAGATTAATCCCGGGCATTAGGAACCTTGAGTACAGAGACAGGTTAAAGCATCTTAATTTGCACTCCCTCAAGAGACGTAGAGTGAAGGGCGACATGATAGAGGTGTATAAATGGAAGTCAGGGTTAAACAAAGGGGACATTACAAAGGTACTCAAACTATCCAACCAGGAGCGAACTCGTAACAATGGTTTTAAATTAGACAAATTTAGATTTCGGCGTGAAATAGGTAAACACTGGTTTGGAAACAGAGTAGTGGATGAATGGAACAAGTTACCAAATATCATCATTAACTCGAATACGCTGGATAGCTTCAAACATAGGTTGGATGCTTTTATGAGCAATAGGGGTTGGGTATAAACGGGACTGCCCAGTATGGGTCAATAGGCCCGCTGCAGTTTCCTCCATTCTTATGTTCTTATGAGTCCGGCCCTGATTGCATGCCATGGTTGACTGATTATTCTGACTAAAAATTTTTGAGCCCACTTACTATTACTGTATATAGTCCTCCTACCTAACTGGAGGGTCCTGACTCCACTAACCTGAAGATTAACAACCATGGAGGGTCCTGACCCCACCTGAAGAATTGTCACCCCAGGTGTTACCACCTGAAGAATCGTCGCACCAGGATATCCCACCTGAAGAATTGTCACCCTGCATCTACCTAGCTTATACTACAGATGGGTGAGGGGAAACCTAATCAAAGTGTATAAACATCTCGGGCACTACTCGGTTGAATGTACAGTCTCGTTCAAGACTCTTCAAACACTGCTGGAGACAGCTGGCAACTCAAGGCCATTTGTTTACTGTATTACATAGTAAAAATTATGAATGAATGTAAAAGCCCAACCATTAATTAAGCAACAGGGAACTCAGTAACCAATCACCTATCACTTTCACATTCATTCATAATTTTTACTACGTACTATAGTAAACAAACTGCCTTGAGTTGCCAACTGTCTCCAGCAGTGTTCGAAGAATCTTTAACGAGACTGTACATACCTGGAGCTGGCAGACGTCCGCCCCACAAGGTTGAAGAAGCCACAAGTCCAGAAAACTGTGAGGGCAAACTTTTTCAGAGTGAGGATTGCGAACTCTTGGAACAACCTGTCAGAGTGTTGTGACGGCACTGAGTGTGAGCTCATTCAAGGCCAGACTTGACCAACACTGGAGCAGGTTCCGACATATTCAGGAGCCAATGCATGCCAGTATCTACCAGTATTGCACCCCAGGCCCCATTGTGGGTCATTTGACCTGTGCCTGGGAGAGCTAATTCCCGTAAAAAAAATAAAGAAATAAATAAATCTACCCAGTATCAGACGTGACCAACCACCCAAGTGGCTAATGAGCCGATCAGTGGCGAAGAGGATATAAGTAAAAGTAAAGTTATCTCAAATAGCAAGCTTGCTATGACTCATTACGTACAATTATCTCTCATGTGATGAAATCAAGTGCGGTGAGATGAGTAACAGGCCAGACGCCGAGCATCTAGCAGGAGAGCACTTACCCAAACCCAAGAGTGTTTAGGACACAAAATGTTAAGATGTATTAAAGTACTGTACCTGTACTGAATATTTTTCCCAACCACAAACTGTTTTACTCAAACACAGTTACCATTTCATAAATTATCATCATTATTTGTATTATTATTATTATTATTACAGTGGTCCCTCGGTTAACGAACGGTTCGATTAACGAAAATTAGGTTAACAAATTAGGATTTTCAGTTCGATTAACGAACAAAACTTTGATTCACGAAACCTTACGACAAACACGTTTTGTTGTGCGCATCAGCTGATCAGCTAGTCCACCAATACAGTAATTGGTTCTATGTTTACATTCATTTCCAGTGAAGTAAATATCAAGAAAGTTGGTCTCTTGAATATTTCTGCATTTTTTTATATTAAAATTATTGGTCATTCTGAAATTTAGTTAACATATTGATAATATATACAGTACAGGGAACAGTTTTCGTGCGCCCATCAGCTGATTGAATCACCCAACAATGCTTCTCAGTTAAACTTTGTTTACAGTGGATTGAACATCGAATTTGTTGGTCTAGTGAATATTTTTGCATTTTTACATTAAAATTATTGGTCATTCTGAAATTTAGTTAACATATTGATAATAAACAGTGCAGAAATTATTATGAAACTGAAGAAGGCATTAGAACCAATGCAATCTGTAAAGAATATGGCATGTCATCATCGACTGCCTCTACAATCAGCTGTTTGATATGTAAACAAAGCTGCTGGTAATACGACATACACACCTCAAAGTAAGTTAAAATACTGTACAGAATTCTACTGTTAATTCTATTACTAGTATACAGTACTTTGTACCTGTATGTACTTTTTATGCGAGTTGGAACCAATTACCCAATATCCCATTGAAATAATAGATTCGGCTAACGAACGACTGTGGAACGAATTGTGTTCGTTAACCGAGGGACCAATTTTTTGTATTATTATTACTATTATTGTATCATTATAAGGAAAAATTAGTTAAATTTCTGTATGTAAAAAGGTTTTATTGAAGAGAATAAATAGTCATTGTCCATGTGCATTGATACATAAGGCAAGGAAACACAGCACTGCCAATCCTGTAATAAAAACAGCCCTGACATTGCTGTAACAGGACACAGCATTGGGAATACTGCATAAGAATGGTAACAGCAGTGCCACCAAGAAAATCCATTTACTGTGAGTGAGATCAACAGCATTGGCAGTGCTTATGAAGAAACAGCATTATCAGCATTGAGGAAGAAATCACATATATTAACAATACTGTAGAGGAAACTACAACACCGCCAATAATGTAGATGTAAATATAACACTGAAAATACTGTAAGAATGGTGAAGAAATCCTTAGAGGTGTTACAATTTCTCCTAAGTGGAGCTGCATAATCCTCTCCATTCATAGTAAGAATGGGACAATTTAATGCCAAGAAAAGAACCTCCAATACTAGCAATACCATAGAGAACTACAGTATTAGTAATAATGTAGGAGACCCATAACACCACTCTCGATATTACTACAGTACAGAACAGTCAAGACTACTGAAGAAACTACCATCCTGGCATCACTCAGGGGCTTAGTTGTCATAATATCAGTCATTCCAGTTCCAATGATATGTTATGGTGCTTTTGTCCTAAGCTATTTAGCAGCATTATAACACATTTTTTTTTTTTTTTTAATGTTTCAAGTGAGCTTTATAGGCTACAAGAACTGCCGTTGCTCCTCACAAAAATATTAACCGGTAAAGTAAGTACAGTACAGTACCACTAGAAATTCTGTACAATTCCCAGTCGCAGGCCTATACTTTGCGAAGGAAGCAAACAAGCACACAGGAGCACATGATATTACCCAGTGTTATAACTTAAGACCACAGAATGTTTTGATGGAGCCTAACAAACAACTCTACCAATTGTGCTCGTCAGACATTACTTGTCTAATCCTCAAACACACAATACTGGATAATGACCTACCAAATCACTCCTCTGAACAAGTCTTTTAATGGAACACTGTTAGCCATTGCATTAATGTACTATAACACCTTTTCAAAATTATAAAAAATAAGAATTTATATACAGTTCTCTATATAAATAAATTAACCTTTGGTCAACATTGACTTTAATCCAAAAATTGCTATCTTTACTTAAAAGGTATTACCCTATCCCTCTAAAATAAACAATACAAACTTTTTAAATCTTTTCAACTCCATAATCTATGCAGATACTGACTATTGGCAAACTGCTCAATTCTGATCACTTAACTACAGTATTATACACTCTATTTAAAGTGGAATTGTCTTTGGCATAATTAATTGAAAATGGTATAATTAAGATGGCAACCAGTTTACAAGATCTCGAGAATGGTGATTGTTCTCAAAGGAACAAAATCTTTTGGCAGTAAATACAGTATCCTAATAATAAATATTAAATAAAAACGTAGAATACCATGATTTTATGTATTAAATTTCAATATGATGTTCTAGCCAATGGAATAAATAGTAGTTGTTACAATGTATAACTGGAACCAATAATAGTTATTAGAACCATATTAATGATTACATGTACCTGTACTACAGAGAAAATATGATTACGCACAATGGAAATACACTGCCGAGACCTAATAGCCAATTGCTCTATCTCGAGTCTACAAGCTATCAGTCAAGGCTCACTCTTAAGGATTTAATACATTTTACTTAGAGTAATAACATGGGTTGTATCATTATAATAAGCTGACACACTGGTGGTACTTTTTATGTACAGTAGACCCTTGCCATTCATGGGTTTGCGATTCGCAATTTCGACGATTCGCGATAAGCAGATGGTGGCTATGGTGGCTAGTTTGCGAGCCTTTTCCCGCAGCGCAACAAGTAACCCCACGTGCCTGCAGTGTCTCCTCTCCTTCAATCATTGCCTGTGAGGCAGCATCTCATGTTGTACTCTCAAAACTTTAGTGTTTCTGTGTGAAATGACCCCTAAAAGACTGCCTAGTGTCAGTGCTAGTGGAGTGAAATGTAAAAGGCAGAAGTCAGTGATGTCCCTGACAAAATAAGTTTAATTAGTAGATATGTTAAGAGAGGGGATGAGTGCTGCCACGGCTGGTTGGTTGTTTGGTATAGGAGTGCACTAAGGTAGTATAAGTTGCTTATCATGGTTTTGCCTATTTGAGCAAATCCTTGGAACCCAATCCCCACAAATAACAAAGGTTTACTGTATTCACGTTAGGACAATGGTGGAATTTAAAAAAAAGACTTCAGTTACAGTACTACCCTTCCATTACATGTGATAATTACCTGCCTGCAGATTATCATGAATACCTGATTATACACTACAGGAATATGAAATACTCGGAACATATTTTAATGCAACTATAGTTCAGTCAATCATTTTAATAGATAATGTTTAAATGGCTGAACTTTACTGTATTAGCTGGTTGTAAGGGTTATCATAAATTGTCATTTCAATACAGTACAAACTTTGCTCTAAACATTTATTAGACTTGACCTGCAATTACTTGATGAGACTGATGTTATCTGGGCCTCTAAATCTTAGACTCATGTTCTTTAGTCAATCACTTCCAGTAGCTATTTTGCTTCAAACAGTTCCAGACAATTAAGTAAGCCTCAAGTGGTTTTATGTATTGAAAAACAATTCAAAAGAAGTAAAATATAATAAGTATCAACTACACCAATCACGCTTCCTTCAAAAGAACGCATTATTTTTTACTACACAGCAATAGGCCACACAGTGGCTAAATGTTAATATTTCTATGTACAAAATTAATATTATGACTCGTGATTTCCTATCCTATATAAAATATATTTTTTATATGTCATGACTCCTCATGCAGTCTGAGTCATAGAACTGCATATGTTAAGTTGATTTGGCCAAGAAGGCTAGAGCAAGGGGGCTAAACATTATTTTAAGGACTAAAAATAAAACAAATCTTATAAAGAAAATCACACCAAGAAATAATGATGACTTGATTAAATCTCAGAGCATCATTTAAATATTGTACAGCTAGCAGCCTGACTCTAACCTTAAATTATAATACAGTTTAACCTTGCAACATAACAAATTTTAGTGATTCACTGCAAATTATCTCTCAACTACTCCAACAGAAGGCAACACCAAGTACACTTGAGATAATGTTTCACTCAGAAATTTTCTACAAGTCAAACATTTTATTTGCCACTAATCTAAATTCTAAAGTTTTTGCATGGTTCTTCTTAGTGCTTGACTTTGCCAGTTTCTCATGGCATAAAAATATATTTGCTCACTTTCCTACTTTCCTCCAATAAAAAACCTAAAGATAGATGAACACATATCCCATAATCTTTTAGGGTTGCAGGCGAGGGGGTATCTTTAGTCTGTGGTTTTGACATGCCAGTGATTAACCCTGTACAAGTGGACATACCACAGCCAATGATAAAACCCTTCCAACCTCATGTCACTAAGGGATCATTTATGTGTCTCATTTGATCCTCCTCAACTTCAAGTACTGTATGATGTGGAACTTCAACCAGTGCTTTACAATCATCATATAAATACCATCAAAATAATACCATAAAAGTGGTCACATATAATAATCTTTTGTACCAATATGTTTTGAAAATACATTTCACTGAGTTGTGATTCTTTGCGTGAGATTAAAGTCTCATTAATCTATGATTGTGGTGACAAGTACATAAAGAGCAGATATACAAAACTTAGAATGCTGCAATTCTTTTGCTTACAAACACTCAATACTCACTTGACACTAAAATATCAATTCAAATAAGTAATTATGCTTAACTTTCTCTTAGCTTTGAAATAGATAAAGAAGAACTTTAGTTTTCAACAATATAATCTTTAATAAGATAAATGCAAGGAGGGAGAAGGTTATCAATACTTTGATGTACAAAGTTTCCTTCTTTTACAAGATTTATTCTGTCCAGTGCTATCCTCAGTTATTTAAACAACCACAAGTCATGCAAATTTCTTTTTCCTGAGCTGCAGTTGCAAATATGTTAAAGGGAAAGACAGGGTTTCAAAGAAGGTACATTACACAAACTGCAAAGTTGATTTCAAAGACATAAGTAGAAGATCCACATTCAATATTTGATTGTGCACTTAATGTCTTCAGTTTGACACACGACCTGACAACAAACTACCTTAGACCAAAAAAATTCATTTTTTGCTTAATTCAACTGTTAAGTAAGACAGCCAAACAAAGATGTATCATACTTCAGCAAATGATTCAAATATTGCATGATAAGAGTGAAGATGGTCAATGGCTCAAGTGTTTGAACCATCCCTTAAATCCTGGAAGAAACAGGGCTTCACAGCCATTGATGAATTATATCTGATATAACACACAATGGTACTGCAAACAAAATTGACCATACAAACTAGTTTCAAAGATGTTGATTGGTAACTTACATTATACTGAAATCACTAGATTGCATTACCAATTTCTTTACTCATGTACACATCTTTTTCTGTGTACTGGTTGGACACAAGATTCAGCATATACTGTACTGTATGCTGCACGCAATTTATTTTTATTATAAAATAAAAATCTTACATATTCATAGCAAAAATTACACAAAATCTTCATGCAAAAATAGCATTTAAAGTAAGAGAGCTGATATCAGACAAATGTCACAATTTTAAAGGCATTCTAAATAGTGTAAATGTTGCATTCAACACTGTGTCTTTCAAGTCAATTTATATACATCACATATAATAATACACTTTACAATATTAGATAAATTTACTCCCTAACTACACTTCCTGAAATCCAGTTATCGTATACTTACCACTTCATTTCGTGAAAGCACTGACAGTAAGCCTACTCATGATGTATTCGGTCATTCTGTACAGGAAATACATATTATATCTCTTCAACTCCAAGGCCATTTGTACATGCACTCTTTTAATATTACAAACTCATCATTCTCACTACTAACCACTGATTAACTTTTAAAATTCATCCCCATCCTTCATTTAATCCTTTCAAGAACTTAATACACAGAAGAAAAAAGTTATACAATAAAAATAAAATAGGAAGGAAAAATTAGGTTATGATTAAAGTCATCTCAGTAAGTAATTGAGCTTTTAAGAAAGAAAGATGAATGAATATGAAACTGTGCATGCTGTTTTGTGTATAGTAAGTGACTCTGTATGTAAAAACCACACCAGCATGTAGAATTCTTCAACAAATGTGTCAAGTATAACTCCAGGGTCATTAACACTCAACACCACCAAGATGGTCAGTGACTAAAACTTTTGAGGAAGAGTCTGTATATTCGTGGCCAACCCTTAAATCCTGGACGGAATAAGGTATCAAAGATAGATATAGATAACTTCTGCCACCAGTTATTACATTTGCTACTCTTCCATTCTTAAGGTCAAGATTAGGAGGCCCTGAACCTGCTTTCAAGTACAGTACAGTTTATCTAATTTACTAATTTGGGTTACTCTCAGACAAAGCAAAGGTGATTACACCACCAACCTCACAAGGATTTTTAATCAATCTGGGACTTTAAATATGATAAAATGACCAGTCTGAGCACACCAGATCAAATAAAGCCTCACCACCACTACTTGACATAAAAAGCACACAAGACAGAAACTCTGTGCACACTCCACAAATTCTTGTGAAATGGCAATCATGATTCAAACAAACAAAATGTAATGAGTATTTAGGATGGGAGAGTTTCTTTTATTTTTTTTTTAATAAACACAAACAATCCAACACAGGTATATCGTGCCCAAAATTCTCTCTTACCTAATAAATAATTTTTTTTTTACCTTCAATTTGCCTTCTATAGGGAGGACGGAATCTGTCTATTCTATTCTACCCATCAAAATTCATTTTTCAACTATGACTTTGCTATTGGTAATTCCTCTTATCATGTGTACAATAAAATTAATTACTTTAATACAGTAGTGATAATTTCATACTAGAGTAATGTGCTTAAGTTTTTAATTATGTCAAATTGTAAATATTTTATACGGTATGTCTTCTAACTGGTGTGAACTCTATAAATGAAGTCAATATTTTGTCATTCAGCAGTGCATGGCAGTTTAATTTACTTCTTTACTGTAAGTCAAGTGACTGAAATATGACACAATGTTTGTGACAAGATAGTGTAGACAAGCAATCCTGTAAGGCCAATTTTTAAGAAACACAAGCAGAAGAAAACTTAGAGGTGCTAGTTTGGTGCATCTTAATATTTTGTATAAGACTAGTACAGTACTTTCTAGTACAGTACAGTATTTCATTGTATAAAAAGACTTTCTTTCCCTGTAAATGTGTGTAAAATTAAATAAGGATTATTATTTAATATATTCATAAAACTCAACAAAACTAAAGTTGCTTGTCATTGTAAATTTCATTACCAAACAAAATAGAAGCAGATATAAGCAAATATGATATAAAACGTTCTTTAAGAAGTTAAAGAAAAAAATAATTATTAATTCTATGAAGACATCAGCCAGATCAACTACACCAGCTGTGAATATGAGGGTCATACATTTAGAAAAGTATAACAAAATTCTTTATGACTTGCTTTTCTATCCCTCTAGAAATATAAAAGCAAATGTTTAATGATCTATACATATATTTTTCACTATTCCCTGGACAACAGACAGGCTGCGATCCTGACTACTCGTTAATCACTATCTTCAGACGCAGAGGACAATTGAAGGTCTTCGATTAAATCGTTGGTTCCATTCACCATGGTGCCTGAAATCATAAAAGGCAAATGTATAAAAGATGACCAGTGGGGAAAATTTAACGTGAGCTTAATATCAGACATAACACTATTTTATATAAGGAGGACAAGGTTGTTTAAAAAATCAATGTGTGACCACTTCCAAGAGTAATGGATAAGAGAGAGGGTCTATGAAAAAGAAAAGAAACTGGATGGGAATAATTACCTTTTCCATGAATTTATAGACTGATATGTACACTAAATAGGAAGAAAGCAATAAGTGCATTGTGAAATGTTGGGAGAGAGAGAATCCTGCCCAAGGAGGCAAGAGGATGGTGAAAATTAAACTAACAACAATGACAAGCATGAGAGCAATATCCAGAAGACAGAAGATAAGATATACATATACAGCATGCCCTTCAAATTTGTGGGGGTTAGGTTCTCAAACTGGATGCAAATTGCCAAATCCGCGAATAACATTTCCCGACCGGGGTGGGGGGGGGAGTACATTTTTACTTGTGCACAAAGAAATGTGTATTATTCCCTTTATGTATTTGCCCTGAGGACAATTATTTCTTTTACCTGTAATGTATATATATGTGTGTGTGTAGACACACACACACACACACACAAAACACATACATACAAATAATAATGGGAAAATCCTCTCACAAATAATCAGAAACAAATGAATTAAAAATATTGAGTCTACCCTCAAGTCTACTCCGTGCTTTGTTATTAATAAAGCACGGAGTAGACTTGAGGGTAGACTCAATATTTTTAATACATTTGTTTCTGATTATTTATGAGAGGATTTTCCCATTATTATTTATTTGTATGTGTTTTTTTGTGTGTGTGTGTGTCTACACACACACACATATATACAATATAGGTAAAGGAAATTAATGCCTCTAGAACGAATGGTTCCCTGTTCCGGCCGCGAAAATGCTGGCAACTTTAAAACTACCCCCAGACATTCTTGGGTACATCCAGGGTGTCATCCGCGAATAATGAAGGACCGCGAAATAAAAATATGCAAATTATCCGGGCGTACTGTTTAGCAATAATATCTCTGTTAGCTGGAATACCTCAAATCCGGAACTCTCTGAGAGCCAGAATTAAAATTTTCTCGGAAAATCGGTCACAAAGCCAGAAATTTTCGGAAAATTCGGCTTTCGGAACAATTTTCTGAGGGGCACACTTTCCGGAAAATTCCGGGGATGGGAGGAGTTTTTCCCAAGTTTGAGAGATGAAAATCGGGGGCATTTTCCAGAAATTCCAAGAAATTTTTCTGGTAACGGAAAATTCCGGGGAGGAGGGATATTTTTCCTGTTTTGAGAGATGATGTGTTGTGAAATTTCTGGAACTTCCGAGAACATTTTTCTGTTACCCGGAAAATTCCAGGGATGAGGGGTATTTTTCTGGCTTTGAGAGATGATGTCATGCACAATTTCTGGAACTTCCAAGAACATTTTTCCGTTACCCTGAAAATTTCAGGTATGAGGGATTTTTTCCGGCTTTGAGAGAGTCGTCTCGTTACCTGGAAATCTCTCATTCCCGGAAGTGCTCTGCACCAATTGTTCCAGCTAACAGAGATATCACTGTATTGAAATATAAGGAAGTGTTGGGCAGAAAGCAGATAAGGGTCTGCTCGGGTAATCTGAACGCAGTGAGAGATTGAATAGTGAAAGATTAGTAAAATGTAAAATCCTGTGGCAATGATAAGAGGGAGAGGGAAATAAAAACCAGGATGGAGATGGAAAGATGCACTGCTGATGGGTGATGCTGGTCTTGTTGTAGTACAAATGGGTACCTTTACCATAGTAAACACATCTATTACAGCAGTAGGAATGAATGAAAAACAACAAATGGAGGGAAAGTCTGTCGATACAGTTGCTTGTGTCTGGTCAGCCTCTATTTAGCAGGAAAAGTCTTCAAACAATATGCAGTACATGAAGGATTGAGATAAGGGTGACACTGATACTTTTGATCAGTGCATTAATTTACAGGTGCTTTGATAACTGTTCTATAACTAAGTCAATGCTTGATGCAGTGTAACTTGAAGGTCAAAGGAAGGAAATTCCCTCCACTGCTACAAGATATTATGAACAATATGAAGCTGTGGCAATAAGGACTTGGCAACCATATGACTCATCCTGTTTTAATTTTGATGGATTCCAGCATTTAATCATTGTATTCAACAAGATAGAGAACAAAGGTTATAGTAGCAAGATTAATTATCAAAATCTGTGTAATAACATGTACAACTATGTCATACAAGTACATGATACTTACCATGGCCATTGGCCTTTTTTGCAACTGTTTCTTGCTCTGGCTCAGAATCAGAATCAGAGTCACTACAGGAAGAGGAACTGCTATTGCTGTCCGACTCACTCGATGAATCACTCATCTCCTGTGGATGGAGATTTTACATATAGTACTGTACAGTATAGTAATAAATGGATCTGAAAGTGTACAATAAAATCTGCTCCATTCCCAGTGAAACATGGCAAAAGAATATGTACATTGTAGGACATTAACTTCAGCAACTTTGAGATGATGTTCTACAGAGCCAGGGTCACTACCCTAAATTCTCTCTCTTATACATATAGGTACTATAAAAAATATACAGTCAACCCTCGCTTTACGCGGTCCCACATTACGCGTTTCCACGTTTACGAAGTACCCTGCTGAAACCGGAATGCTCACTTTCCTCGGTGCGTGTACCCCTTTACGCGGAGAGCGGCTGACGAGCCGCGCCATTTTTGGATCCAAACCTCCCGCCATCTCTCCCGCCCTCCGCCATGTTGTGTAAGCGGCGCGAGTAGGTTGCGCAGTGTGTGTCTTTGTTGCGTTATCAGTGACATCATATGACATATCGGACTGTAATTGGGCCATGCATCCTTACCTCCCTCCGCTGCTAGCTGTGATTGGTTTAAAGTAAAATGACGTGTCCACCCACGGGAGGGAGGGAGGAAAGACGACGCTTGACCTTGCCGCGGCAGTTTCATCCCTCCAGGCCACACCGTGTATACGTGATTCCATTGTTCTGTAAAATGGCTTCCGCCGGACCACCGCCCCCAGAGAGAAACCTTTCCTTACCTGGACCCAGCCGCCCTAAGCCAAAGACGACACGACGTTCCTTAAGCTACGAAATTAAGTATAAGATCATACAAGAGTTGGAGAAAGGAACAAGACAGGTTGATCTCGCGCGCCAGCATGGTGTTAACGAGTCTACGATCAGGACAATTAAGAAGGATGCAGCCAAGATAAAGGAGCACATGAACATCACAAAGTCTACAGGTGCTTCTATGATCAATTATTTCCACAACCAGGTGCTTCTCAAGACGGAAAAATTACTTGTGAGCTACTTGGTGCGTCAGGCGCGACGGAACACGGCGGTGGACACGCGCTCAGTTAAGGAGTACGCACATGAACTGTATGCTGCAGTGTCATGAAAGATGGGAATTACAGAGCCCAAACCCTTTAATGCTTCCTCTGGGTGGTTACAGAGGTTTAAGAAGAGAAACAAGATCACCAATATCAACATTGGTGGTGAAGAAGCTAGTGCTGACCATGTTGCGGCTAGGGAATTTCCTCCGTTTTTACGTGAGATTATGGAGGAAGGACAGTACACCGATGACCAGCTGTTTAACATGGACGAATCTGGTCTTTTTTGAAAAAACTACCTTCCAAGACCTTCGTTGTGAAGAATGCCAGCAAGTGTCGGGGCCGGAAGTTGCAGAAGGAGCGCATCACCGTCCTGTTTACCACCAATGCCTCCGGTACCTGTAAGCTCAAGTTATCGGTGATCCACACAGCACGCAAGCCGCACGCCTACAAGAGCATGGACATGACCAAGCTAAATGTCCACTGGCTGACCACAGGTAAGGCGTGGATGTTCTCTATACTGTCCCTCTCCTGGTTTGATGACTGTTTCGTTCCCGATGTGAAGAAATTCTGTGAGCAACAGAATGTGCCATTCAAGATTTTGTTGCTGCTGGACAACACACCAGGACACTCGCCCCTACTGTTAGATCGTCACCCCAACGTAAAAGTGGTCTTCCTTCCTCCCAACACTACGTCTATATTACAGCCCATGGATCAAGAGTTAATCTGTAATGTAAAAGCTGCATTCTCTACTAAAAAATTCAAGCTCCTGAACGACTACACCAACACCAGGGAAGAGTTGCGTAACCTGAGTGACACCAACACCGATAGCAAGAGCGAAGACGACGAGGATCAACAGTTGGCAGAGCAAGAAGTACTTTTAAAACAATTCTGGAGAATATTCAACGTCAAGAAAGCTGTGGACTTCTTGGTGGAGGCATGGGATCAGCTGTCTGTAGCAACTGTTCGTCACGCATGGAGACATGTGTTGCAAGGCATTCCGGGCGTTAGGCAGAGTCAATCTGTGACTGGTGAGGTTCAGACTGTTGCAGTAGCAGGGGACCTTGCCAGAGAAGCTGCGCAGAGTGTTACAGCTGCAGGCTTCTCCGAGACCACCAACGACGACATCCTGGAGGTGATAAGGGATCCTGATGTGACTACCGACGACATGGTAGATGATGATGACATCAGTGAAGAGGCAGGTGGTGCGTCATCCCAAGAAGAACGCCGCTTATCCCATAATAATGTTAGGGGTGCCATCGAGTGTATCGAGAAAGCCAAGCTCCTCCTTTCCGACGACCCTGATGCAAACAGGTATGTAATCTTCACTACCCAGCTGTTGCAGACTATGGAGCCCTACATCAAGGTTTATCACAACAACATAAACACCAGCCGTCAGCAAAGCATAACAGAGTTCTTCGCCCGCAACCCACCACAGCCAGCCCAAGCCAGTGATAGTGACAGAGGTAGAGACAGTGATGATGACTTTGAGGGATTTGTCAGGGAGGCCCTGACAAGTGTGGATGACAGTGATGGTGACTCACCTGAGGGCCAGTAGCCTGCCCTCTGCCTCGGAACCAGCCTCCATTCCCGTACACCGACCCATCTCTTCTACTAACGTAAGTGTTAACCCCAACCTTGTTTTTTCTAACCTAACCCTCAGTTTATTGACTGTTCCCTTCTATATTATGTGTGGGTGAATACCATCATAAAGTTAAGATGTTATTTTTAGTAAAACGTACGTATTGTGTCGGGAAAAAGTGGAGTTTGGGGGTCGGCCCGGTCTCTATTTCAATTAATCCCATATGTTATGTTGTTCACTTTACGCGGACCGCCGTGGGTTGAATTAACCGCATAAAGTGATGGTTCACTGTATTCTTTATAACCTGACTCCGTAATATATCTGAATGGAATCATTAAACTTAATGCCATTCAACTTCCAAAGTTCTTCCTTTTGAAAAGTCGGTGAATGCAAGATGCATTTTAGAATTAAGAGATATTATCACTGGAACCATAGGAGAGAATTCCCCTTAACTTTGAGCATGGGGACAAAAATCTAACACACCAAAACGAATAATTTAATCAGTGTCCCTTTCTATGTTCCACAACAAACCTCTTTAGCCTTCTCCTACCTACAGTACTTACCAAGTGGCAATTTTGGGGAGTAAAATAAGAATAGGGAGGACATTCTAATATAATTATTCATTTATATTATTTTTATTTTTTTACGGGGATTAGCCCACCTGGGCACAGGTCACTCACCCACATCAGGGCCTGGGGGGCGAAAATGTAAAAAAAAATAATAATAATAATACCTGTAATAATAGTAGTAATAATAATAATAATAATAATAATAATAATAATAATAATAATAATAATAATAATAATAATAATTCATAGTAATAAAATCTATAATAAAATAAAAATTTGAAAATAAAATAATAAATTAATAATGATAATAATATTAACACTGTAATAATAATAATAATAATAATAATAATAATAAAGACATACAAAAATGACAAAAAGATCAAAAGTGAGAAACAATATACTGTACTGTATGTACCGTATATACCCGTGTATAGCACGAGTTCTTAGGACCAAATTTTTTGGCAAAAATTGGGGGTCGACCTCTATACGGGTAATAGTTTCGTTAGGTTGAAAAATATTTACCAGTATCTACCAGTAAACAATGGAAACGACGCACCACCCGCTGTGAGTGTCGGTACAGTTGCCAGGGCAGATCTCTTGCGTCATCATAGCAAGCCCAAAGTAGCCAAATGCATGGTATGGTATGCACAGGAGTATGTAAAACATAAAGTATTCATTTTTAAAAGTATTTATAGATACATAAATTTTTGTTAATTAAATTTGAAACATCAATCTTTGTTAATTAAATTTGAAACAAAAGAAAAATACGATACCTTATTTATAAATATTTTCATTAAAATATTACATCACAAGTATATTTTACCTTAACTGTGCCTGAATGAATATATTCTCAGAAATAAATATGGAAATATAATATTTTTGCTGAAATGACGTACGTATTGCAGTGGAAAGTGGGATAAAATTGTGACGAAAACAATGACTTTCACTTTCTTTCGTCATTCAAAAGATTTTACGGTAATCGCTTTTCGAATGGTTTTCAGTTAAAAAACTGTTGTATTACAATAATATTCTATCCCAATTGATTTGAATAAATACTACGATACCATATTTCTGAATATTTTCATTAAAATCCATCAAAATCATTTTCCTTGTCATCATCTGCGGCACCAAACAGCTACTCCCAGTCCTCTCCTTGAACAGCATCGTCATATGGATCAACACCATCATCAGCCATAGGATCATCAATATCTTCATTCTCATTCACGCTCTCATTAGCCTCATAATCCCACAAGTCGTCTTCTGTTCCATCAACAGCATTCGAAATTCCACATTTCTTAAAAGATTTCACCACAATTTCTGGTCTGATTGCATCCCAAGCCTCTACAATCCATTCACATAATGTTGCTAGTGATGGAGCTTGGATGTTGCCTCCCTTTGTGTATGTCTTATCGCCTTCTATCATCCAGTTGTTCCACTTCACTCTTACCACATCTTTAAATGGTTTGTTTATGGAAACATCCAGTGGTTGGACAAGACTTGTTAATCCACCAGGAATCACAGCTGTATCAGTGTTTTCCTTCCTAATCCCAGCAGTAACACTGTCAACAAGATATGACCGAAACATATCCCACACAAGAAGACTTTTTTCTTTGCGCAGTCCCCCTGGTCTAAAGTTCCAGACTTTTCTAAGCCATATTTGTATGCCGCCTTCATCCATCCATCCTTTCTCGTGCACATGGATGACTAAAAAAATGCTGTCTGACTTGCAACACTGTTGGTAGGGTCAGGTGGTTCTAACGGCACCTGCCAGGACCCGGTAATCAAATGTATAACAGTGTCTAACCTCAATTACTGTAGTTTATCTGATGTAGGCAATATGAAGTAAAAAATACCAGTTAATGTGAGAAATTGGAAGAGAATAAACAAGAAAGATGTCGTTGGGCTATTTTTGGTAGGGCTGAAGGAGAGAGTACCAGCTGTTTGGTCTTTTTTGGCGGGAGAGTCACGCAAATAACCGTAGTACTGGTATTTGTTTGGTGTCTTCTGTATTTTTAAAATGAATACTTGTAAATTAAAAGTTCTGTAACATTGTATTATATACAAACTTGTCATATTTCTGGAAAATAAGAAGCAAGAAAATAAGAATATACCGGTAAACACAATTTCAACGTACGCTAAAATTAAAAGCTGCTTAAGAAGGGCCGATGCAAACACAAAGCCTCCGCGACCAGGGCTCTGCCGTATCAGCTAGACGGTACACGTGTTTTACGAATCGTTTTCAGTTAAAAAACTATTACATCACAAGTGAATTAGGATAGAATATTATTGTAATACAACAGTTTTTAACTGAAAACCATTCGAAAAGCGATTACGGTAACATCTTTTCAACGAAAGAAACCGAAAGTCATTGTTTTTGTCACGATTTTATCCCACTTTCCACTGTAATACGTACGTTATTACAGCAAAAATATTACATTTCCATATTCTCAGAAATAAATAGTAGTTTTGCTGAAACGTGATGTATTTCAATGTAAATTAGGATAAACTACATGACGAAAACAGAAGACTTTACCAAACCTTCCGATGTTCAAGATATGTTACTCGTTTTTTTAATAGTTTTCGGGTAACATACTGTTATATTAGTGATATTCTATTCATACTGTGGTTGATATAATACATTCACGGAAATGTAATATTTTTTGCTGAAATGACGTACGTATTACAGTGGAAAGTGGGATAAAATTGTGACGAAAACAATGACTTTTGCTTTCTTTCGTTCAAAATATGTTACCGTAATCGCTTTTCGAATGGTTTAGTTAGAAAAGTGTTGTATTACAATAATATTCCCTCCTAATTGACTTGAATAAATACTTGAATGGAAATATACAATATTTTTGTTGAAACTACCCGCGTTTCAGTGTAAAGTGTCGTAATAATAAATGGTAAACAAGTTTATAGGACGTAGTGTTTTACTGAAGGTTTTGTTGTTCCTTTACCCTCAAAACTTGGGTCGACCTATAAACGAGGAATATCATAAATTAACGATTTCTTGGTCAAAAAATCGGGGTCGCCCTATATACGAAGGGGGGTTATAGACGAGTTTATACGGTATGTTGTGCTGCCAATACCTGTAGTAAGAGAAACAATTGAACCCTGCAATTGTGTGTGAATGAGGCGGAAATTCAAATCAGCAACCTGGGACTTGGTCACAATTTTTGTGATGCCATATGGCAGCAGGGTCTACCATTAGACAATACATTATGCTTCCAATATCTTCCCAGGTGGTAGTAATTATCAAATTCATTCAATTATTGAATGCTTGTCACAAGTTGGGGTCTGGGGTTTCAACCCTAAACTTGACTATGCCGAATGGCTCAATCCTGACATAAGGTTATAAAAAGAGGCAAAGAGTGAGAGAAAAAAAAAGATAATAATTTCTTACCCCTTTTTCAACTGGATCAGCATCATCAAATCCCAACATTGGCATTGATCCTGGAGCTGTGCAGTGATTACTGTTAGGGCTTTTGTTGGGAAAGGGAGACCTTGCATGTGGGGAGGATTTAGGTGGAGGAGAATATTTAACATGGGAAGGTGAAGGTCTTGAGAGTGAGTTGGCTGAGCCTCTTGAAGGTAGGTGGGAAGGAGAGCACTTCTGTGGTGGGGAATTTTTTCGGGAAGAAGGATCTAAGGGGGTCGTAGGCCGCTGAGTAGGGATCCGGCTGCTTCCCTCTGGTCTGTGGGGGGAAAATACACAGATGAACAAAATCTTTCCATCTACAGTATATATACAGTATATATTCTGACACCCCCTTTTTACAATGCTAAATAAATTAACTGTTATAATACAAATTATTCTGTTAAATATACAAGTATCAACTAATATGAATCATTAAATGCATCAGTGCATATACTGTACAGTATGTAGGGTAAGTCTGAACATGTGCAATGCCAAGACCAAACAGGATGATAAAGCACTAGCCCACCAAATAAGTTCAATAGCTATAAAAAATGCCAATTACTGTACATATATCACACAGCCTCACCTAGTGGTTTTTACACTTATAGTTTGTGATATGCGTTCTAGCACAATCTCTCCCGTGACATGGTCAATGATGAGGATACACTCTTTGGCGACTTGCTTATGATTCCCCTTGAACACTGTCTGGGAGGTGCCTGAACCCTCAACATGTGGCACTGTGACAGACACTTGATGATTGCCTTCCACCTCCACCGTCCCCATCTTCTGCTTGTCAACACTCGCTGGCTTGAAGTCATCTGAGAATGCATATTTTCAGGGAATATGGGCTAAAGTACACATATATATATATATATACTGTATATACTCAGCATCCCGAAGATAATTCTATGAAGCGTTAAGTTCCTAGAAATTACAAGTAATGTATACAGTTTTTGGGTAGAGCATATATTATGACCATATATTAAATAAATAAGGAGGAAAATGAGGTTGTTTCTAAAATTGCCAACACAATTCCAGGACCAACCCAACATTTACATTCAGTTTCCAGCTGACCAACTACAAACACCCAGGAGGAGAGAGGATGCCAGAGCCAGATGGCTCGGACATACTCCGAAGGCATTTCATTTTCATATATTTATGAAATACAGTAGAATCCCAGTTATCCGTCACCTACGAGGATTGAGAGGTTTTCCGGTTAGTTGAAACTCACTCTTAGGATCCCCCAATAAATTCTAAAATGCACAGTGCTAGAGGCTGGCCTTGCAAATTCGTGTCTCAGAAAAACGGACTTCTTTAAACACTCATTCCACTCTATATAAATGATGTGGTTTAGAAATAAAGAAAATATTATATAAAACTATAAAATAAGAAAAATGAAGAACAAGGGTGTATATGTGTGGGAAGTAAACATGTGTGGAGGTGGTGAGCTATAACTACATTGCTGACTCGCCAGCCAAGCTTAGTGTTATTTGCAATGAAACTATAAAAGTTGGGGAAAAATCATTACAATACTCTAATGTGGCTTAGAAATAAAGAAAATATAATATACAACTACAGAATAAGAAAAATGAAGAACATCGGGGGGTATATGTGGGAAGTGAACGTGTTGAGGCAGTGGGTTACTGAGCCATAACTGTGTGGTTGTACTCTCTTCCGATATGACGTCACGGCATACACACAGCCAGCGCAACAACCACACTTCTGTAAGTCAGCTGGGTGACTGCCTGAACTGTTACATTGCCCAGAGTATGGTTTGAGTGTAGGAGTAATTTCTTGCACAAAAATATGTGCTATTCTATTTTATGATATGCTATGTATCAATTTTATTGTTTAACATAGCAATAAATATGGCAGCTCATCCCTGTTATGCAAGGTATTCAAACTTACAATTCTTGCGAAGTTTGGAGGAATATTTATTATTATTATTTCATTTTGGTGCCAGTTAGTTGAATATAGTGGTTGCCCGGATACCGGATAACTGGGATTCTACTGTACATAATTCCATGAAAGTTAACATTGTGTACAGGGTAATGCAGAGAAAATTACACTTTTCTGAAGAATAAAAAATTTTAAGTTGAAAACTGATACAAGAGGTTAACTTCTAGCAATAAGAAACCTCGGTATGTGTTAGAAATTATGTAAATAATGTGTACTGTATTGTATTGCAAGAGATTCTATAAATACTGTACTGTACTGTACTGTATCTCAGAAGCTACTGGTAAGGTGCAGGAAGAACCTAACCATGTGCTGGGTTGTTTACACTGAAAGTTGTGATACCCATCAGAGGAGAGAATGGGTTTATGTTTCAACACGGAGATGATAGTAGGAATAAAGCTGTGGGGAACAAAACTCTTCTACTGCTGTGGACTAAATTTGAATTGGCCCTCAGGTGGAATAAAATTGTATTAAAAGTCAAATATGGCAACCAAAGGGTTAAACCAGTAATGTATGTCATGAACTCTTAGAATAATCTGCCAGAGAGTGTTGTGATGACACACTGAGTGTTAACTCATTTAAGACCAGACTTAACCAACAGTGGTGCAAATTCAGGTACATTCTGAAGCCAGTAATGTCCAGTGTACTTGACTACAGTGAGAACAGAGAAATGACTGACAATCTAACCAGCTAGACTGTCGACCAGTGGCGAAGAGGATAAGTAAATGAAAATAAAGTAATTGACCCTAACCTTACTAAAAATGTAACCTTTGATAAGTCAGCTTTAAGTAAAATTTTAATTTAATAGCGCATGTTTTTAACTACATTTTGACTTTCATGCCAAAGAAGAAGTGTTCTGTAATAAAGATTGGAAAGCCAAAACTTCTGCATATGCGATTTTGCATGAAAGAACCACTGAGCATTGCCCCCCTCCTAGAAAAAATAAAATAAATATCCTTTATGATCAGCACTCTATTCAGTGTTATTATACAAGTTGTCACCCACTGAATCCCAAGATATTTACCTTTGCAAGGTCATTTGTGAGGGAAATGTCTGAACTATTAATTGCAAAGATAAAATTCTCGAGAATTGGTGGGTGGCAACTTATACAGATTTAGCCTCTATTTCTGTTAAAGACAGTTTGGTAGTGGTTTGTTTTTATTTGCTGAAACTGCATAACAGCAGAGGCAGATATAATACATATTTGTCTCTTCATAAGTACATTACTGTACTGTACATGTAGCTACTATAATTTGCAAACTTTCCCAAATAAAACTGTGGACAGTACAACAACCCACTCTTCATTACAAGAAATTTTTCCACAAAAATAAGTCAAATTATAGCACGCACGCACGCACGCACGCGCACACACACACACACACACACACACACACACACACACACACACACACACACACACACACACACACACTTAAGCTTGATCTTTATGGAGGTGAGTTTGGTTCATATCTTTAATAAATAATTTAATGCTGCAGTCATACAGACCACCACACGGCAACAACTTGGCCACTGTTTTTCACATGGATATAACCGGTACTGTATAATATCTTTCTCGATGATTTTCATTGCCTTTTAAATATCCCAATTCATTTTTCTGAATAACACACCTCACATTTATTACATTAATTCCGTAAAACATAAAAAATAAAGCTAATACATTACGTACTTTATGAAGATTGCGTGCTTTAACCAGAAGCTTGAGATAATTTTTCTTTAGAACATAAATGGTCTTACCTCATGAAAAGCCAAAAAATTGGGGATGGAATAAGTTTTTTGTAATATAATTTTAATGAATTTCCATCCTGAACACTTGTCTATGGCCACATGATAAATGACATATCCAATGGTTACAACCAACCTAACCTACCTGATCTGAGTAGTAGTAGTAGTAGTAGCTGGTAGGTCATAGCTAGGCTGCAGCTGTTCTTATGTTCAGGAAGGGAAATTAAAAAATGTAAATAAATAAAATCTTAGTCCTACCCCTTTCTTGGGGGTTGAGGGACTTTTCATGAGGTAAAAAAGCAGATATCACGTATAGAATAGCTTTCTCAAGTTGTTCTTTATGGTGCCAAGTTGTCATGGAGTATAACCACAAAAGTAACACTACAGTGGTGGTGCAAATTAAATAAAATTTTACCCAGTAAACAATCATATTAACGGTACTGTATGAGAACACCACTACCACCAAAAGGAGCAGTTCGATTTCATTAATTTTTTCCACAGATGTTCTTATCATTATTGTAAGTATTTTAAAAGAGGCAATAACTTTTTTTTAATTACAAGTATTTATTTTTTTAAGGTTTTCTCTCTACGATAATAAATAACCTGTAGTGGGCAGTGATTGAAGGATGAGGGAAATTGCAGGGTAAAACATGGTTAAAAACTGATCATATGACACTAAAATGATGTCTCTACGTCCTTTGACATGAAGAAATTCATTATTTACCGCAAATATGCCTTCGAAAAATCTGCCGAGTCAATGCGTTTTGTCATCTCCTCTGTGTTTACATCCAACCCGCTCAGTCCGAACATATTCTCACATCCACAAAAAAGTTAAATTACACCATGATGCTTCAACAAAGTTGCTTTCATTGGTATTAGTTATAAAAATATGGCAGGGGGTCCCCAGCTAGGAAGTTAGGTAAGGTTAGGTAGGTTTCTTTGGTTGGTTAGGTCAGGTTCTATTAGGTTTTAGTAAATGTCGCCTCTTTTAATACATATTATAATGATAAGAACATCTGTGGAAAAAATGAATTCAATCAAACAACTCCTTCTGGTGGTAGCAGTTTCCTCATAAATTACCGTATTAGGGGTCCGACTAATTACCCAAATGTACCCGCAATGAAGTCAAATAATGGTCCTACATGAATAAATCAGACTGCCAATCACTTCTCGACTGGTATTTGGTGTCAAGAAGTCACAAAAAATTGGTAAACTTAATTTAATCTGAGTTAATAGATCGAGTGCATGTACCTTACCTAACCTAACCTAACACAACACAACACAGATTAAATTAAGTTTACCAATTTTTTGTGACTTTATGACACCAAATAATAATCGAGAAGTGATTCACAGTCCGATTTACGCTTGTAGGACCATCATTTGACTTCATTGCGACTACATTTGGGTACATTTGGGTAATTACTCGCTCCCTCGGTACAAGCACGCGATCCATTAACTCGGTTTAAATTAAGTTTTCCAATTTTTTGTTACTTTGTGACACCAAATACTCGTCGAGAAGTGATTGGCAGTCCGATTTATTCATGTAGGACCATTATTTGACTTCATTGCGGCTACATTTGGGTACATTTGGGTAATTAGTCGGACCGCCGTATTAGTTAATTAAATTTAATGTTCTATTATTGAATCACGTCCCATATAGGGTGAAATAAAATGAAGGATTAATATATCAGAAGACGCTCCTTCACTCACTCATGTTAACCAGAAAACATGTTTAAGATTTTGGCAAGATGGTTGCTTATAATATGTCCAAATCAGCAAATTTCGCATTCATTCAGACATAATCAGTATATTCCTGTCTACAACATGAGGGAAATGTCCATCATCACATGTCAATCATCCACTTCCATCTAAAAACAATAAACAAAATTTCCATTCAAACATTTTAATCATCACTTCCTCCTGTACATGAGAAGAGAGTACTGTGCAGTATTTACCAGTTCTTGCACAAAAAAAAAATTCGAACTATTAATCGAATGAAAAAATTGCTTAATGCAGTTTAATGATTATAACATATAACAATGAAACACATAATAAACTAGGAATGATGCAGCAGCAGGAGATAAGATCACCGAGTATGAACAAGAAGCTGTCACCAAGCCTTTAGAGAAGTACCTTAACCTCTACATAATTCTTGGTCAATAGTTAATTTACTCTTCATTACTACTGTATGTACATTATATAAACATAATTGGACACAACTGGTGTGGTAAAAAGGTCAAAAGGTGAGACAGTAAAGAGATGTCACCAACCCCACAATAACTTACATCGTATGGTGTGATAGGCAGCGTCCTTGTAACCTTTGTTGAACGTATCTCCAAGCTTCATTTCCTTTTCTTCACCATCCAGACCGAGCTTATCTGCCATAATGAATCACGACGAGAGTTCACTACACAATACGAGGCAGTGAAGGATTAAATTTACACACAGTTTAACAGAAATGTTCACCTCACCAAGCCGAAAAGCACCTTACTGGGCCTACCAGATGTGGCTGTGTATTGACCACTGCACCTCACATATCCCAGATGCTTTTCACTTAGGTCATGGTGGATCTTACTCTAACCCATGCGAATATGAAGCCTTAATGGTGTCCTGGAGAGCTTCACTTTCACGTGTAAAGTGAGTGGTAAACATGAGCAGCTGTTCCTTCAGGCCTGTGAGCCACCGCCGCTGCTCCTACATCACACGAGAAAGTGTAATTCCAAAATACTTTTATCTGACCTTCATTTATCCCTTATAACCATCATAATACTTCTTTTGGGTTTCATAGTAAAGTTATTTTATTAATGATCTTGTTATATAATATATTATTTGTATTATATGTGTTAGTAAGTATTGTGAATGTGATAACGTATTGGCGGGGAATTAAAATGTTATATTATTGTACTTAAACACGTAACTAATATCTATTTTTTGTCATTGTAATGTTTCAGATTTTATTTGATTAACCTTAATATAGTCTGATTTTAACACACACAATCCTTAGTGTATATATATTTATATATATATATATATATATATATATATATATATATATATATATATATATATATATATATATATATATATATATATATATATATATATATATATATTAAAGAGTAGGATAAATATCAAATAATAATTATGATACTATTTACATTTACAGTAATTACTTCAGTGTTCGCTATTTTAAAACCCCATACCGTACTTATAACATATAGTATCTCTATACGTACTGTATTTAAATGAATATTGATTACAATCTTATTCATTGCCTCACGGAGTTTAAATTGATCCATGAATGCAATTTTATTATTATTATTATTATGGTAATCATTTAATTGGTATATGACTAAAATGATTGCCGCATTAAAAATACTGTTTAAATACATGACTAATATTCAGGATTAAAGAGGACACTAGGACAGTGTTTTTGTAGTACTTTAGTTTCTGCTTATTAAGAATGAAATTCAAGAGAGGAGCAAAATAGTTGGTACAAAACTAGAAGAGTGCACTTCTTGTAAAAAGGAAAAGGAATTCGTTCATCCTGTATTCTCATCAGCTCCAGTTGCAGGAAAATGAGTCATGAAATTGTGGTGAACTGAAATAAAGTCACAGGAAAAAAAGTCACATGACTTGTACACATTGACAACACAATATATATATATATATATATATATATATATATATATATATATATATATATATATATATATATATATATATATATATATATATATATATATATATATATATATATATATATATATATATATATATATATATATATATATATATATATATATATATATATATATATATAATGTCATTGCACGTAGGTTAGGTTAGGTTAGGTTAGGTTTTTCCATGCCTTTTTTCTGACTTTTTTCCTGGATTCGAAATTATATGATATTTTTCACTTTTGTCGGTGGATTTTTTTTAGGAATACTGTAAACTAATATATTGTCTTGGGTTTCATCTATTTCTTCTACAAATAAAAAAAAGATGGGGGTCTCATGAGCATTCAGTCTGGCATACGTATTTTGTCGCTTATCAACCTTGTGAGAATGAGACACATTAAAATAATTCCTTTCGATTCTCACTGTCATCCTCTACATTTATACTGTTTACTTTTAACACCATTTCTCTCTACCACTGATCGGCTCGTTAGCCGCTTGGGTGGTTGGTCAGGTCTCTCTTATCAAGTACTATACTGGACATGCACTGGCTCCTGGATGTATCTGAACCTGCTCCATTGCTTATTAAGTCTGGTCTTGAAAGAGCTCACACTCGGTGCCGTCACAACACTCTGCAGGTTGTTCCACGAGTTCACAACTACAGTGACCCTCACAGTTTATCGAACTTGAGCTTCTTCAACCTTGAGCTGTGACCCCTTGTGGGGCGAGCGTCTGCCAGCTACAGGTAAGGATGTGGGGTACGAGATGTTTCTCCTCCATCCTGTGTGAATGCGAATCTCCGGGGTCACCATTTGTGGGGTACGAGTTATTTGGTTCACACTCAGGATGGGGTGCAGCTTAGTGCTGGGAAGTGGCAGCATGGTTACAAGCGTGATGTAGAGAGAGCTGGTTGGTGAGGATGCTCAGAGGAGGACAGGCTTGTGGGTCGCTATGGTAGCCGTCGGAAGCGAAGGCCGCCAGGCAGGAGGAGGAGAAGGTGTTGCTTGCTGGTTGGTGTAGGTAGAAAGAGAGAGGTAGGTCACCACCAAGGTAGGTAGATACCTACCTTGGGTCACCACGAGGTCAGGTCTTATATAGCGGAGGTAGGCGTGGCTTAATAGTTGACCTCCGTCATGTAAGGCGGCGCTGGTTGACCTAGACATGCGGCATACACTGGGGAATTCGCGGGGTCGGCTATTCAGCGACAAGCGTTTGTAGGGGAGGAATCCACTACAAGGACATTCGACTGAGTAGTGCCCTTTGAGATGTTTGGACACCTCAATTAGGTCCTCCTTTGCCCTTCTGTAGTATAAACTAGGCAATTGCTGATGTTCTAATATCTCAGGTAGCTGAGGTGCCGTAGTGCAGGCACCAGTTTGGTGGCCCTCCTTTGGACATTTTCAATCAACTGACAGTCCCTAGCATATCTCTGGGACCAGATGGGGGTGACAGTACCCCAGGTGGGAAAGCAACTCACTCTTGTAGATCTTTACTTTACTTTTATTTACTTTAATCCTCTTCACCACTGATCGGCTCGTTAGCCACTTGGGAGATCGGTCACGTCTCTGTTATGCACTGTTGGCAAGCACCGGGCATGCACAAGGGACAGACCGTCTAGATATCTGAACGACCTTCTTATAAGACCTAGCAATTTAGTTCCTTGATTCACCTTCTTTTCATAATGGCCCGAGAACTTCAGTTCATTGTCAACATACACACCTAGGTCCTTTTCACATTCAGTCACAATTAATGCAGTTTCTTCGTCCCATTGGGACCTATAATACGTCTCCTTACCGTTGGTACGTCCCAGGTGGATCCTCTTACACTTCATGACATTGGATTTTAGCAGCCATTTCTTCAATCATTCTTGAAGCTCACAGAGATCTTTCTGCAGCTCTTCACAGTCCGCTTGGTTCTTAATTTCCCTAAATAAATTGGCATCATCCGCAAACATTTTTTTATGAAGCAAACAAAAAACAACGGGCTCAATACACTGCCCTGTGGTACCCCGCTTGTTATTGGTACTGTACTGCGCACAGCATTGTCATCCCTAAAAACTCTTTAATTCATATTACGCTACATAACATTCAAATCCACCGCGCTTGTTGAATATCAGAAAACGGGACACGTTGTTAAAGGATAACTCACCTACTGAATGTTTATGAATTATTTGTTGAATTGTACCCAGGTACGGGTATATAATATTAAGTGTATGTACTCATAGTATTAAGGAGAACTCAGGGTATCTATAAGATGGTTGGGAGAGTCCAATCGATAAGGCTAAGTGTAGATCGTGTTTGAAGGTCATTCTATTGACGTCTGTGAACGGTTAGTGAACATAGCTACCGCAGGTAGCACATGAAACTATAAAAGAACATTGATTTGGAAAAAGGATAAAAGTATCAGACCTATGTGAAGTGTTGAAAGGGATCCAGAAACTGTACTTCAAAGGAAATATCTTGTATGCATTGGTGTGAAGTTAATACACCTCGTTATCTCGTGTGACATATACCCACGAACTATACAGTAATCAGAGAATCTTGTGACTGCGTGCAACGAGTGCAATGTGTGAGGGCTATGAACATTCGACGCGCGGCATTTGTTCAGAATTAGTGTCCCTTGGACCCGGACTACAGTTTTGAGTTAATGACATTGTGGGGTACGAGATGTTTGGTTCACACTCAGGATGGGATGGAGAAAGGAAACTCACAATGTGCTCTCTGTATACATGTTGTATTGGATGTACAATGCAGCTTGGTGTTGGGAAGTGGCAGCGTGGTTACAAGCGTGATGTAGAGAGAGCTGGTTGGTGAGGATGCTCAGAGGAGGACAGCTTGTGGGTAGCCATGCTCGCCGGCGGGAGCGAGGGCCGCCAGGCAGTGGCGGAGGAGGAGGTGTTGCTTGCTGCGGCTGTAGCTAGAAAAGAGAGCGGTCACCACGAGGTCAGGTTTTAAATAGCGGAGGTAGGCGTGGCTTAGTAGTTGACCTCCGTCATGTAAGGCGGCACTGGTTGACCTAGACCACGAGGCATACACTGGGGAATTCGCGGTGTCGGCTACTCAGCGACAAACAGCGTTTGTAGGGGAGAAATCCACTACAATATCGCCCAATTAATTTCCCCAGGAACTGTCAAACCAGAGCCGTACTTTAGTATGTAAATTAGGATTAAGATATGTATTTATAAGGCATAAGGTGACAATAAATAGGAAAGTGTTCATGTGAGAACCATAAGAAATCAAAGTGAAAATTAAAGATTGGAAACTGTAGGCCTAGTCAGTGAGAGGCGCGGGGCAGCGCCCTCAGTGTCGCCTGTCTTCTCACCAAAACAGATCAGTGAACTTCATTGTGCTATATTCAGCCCTAAAAAAAGACTTATCTAGCAGTTTTTACATCTTAAAACCTTGCCTGATGTTATAAAGTGAATTCATGGTGTACTAGTGTGTGGTGATGAAAACCCCTCAGGCATTATTCTCAGTGTCGTCCGTCTTCTCACCAATACAGGAGGCGTTCTGAGCGCCTTCTTGTCGTCAGCCATGACCATGTAGTGGATTCCTCCCCTACAAGCACCGAACCTTCTCGAATCCCCCAGCCTACGCCTCCAGCACCGCCCACGGAGCGGGGGTCAACTATTTACCCACGCCTACCCCCGCCTTATAAGGCCTGACACCGCTGTGACCACTATCTTTCTACACAATGCCACCGGCAAGCAACACCTCCTCCGCGCCAGCCTGGCGGCTGCCGTTCCCGCCAGCGACCTTGGCGTCCCTCAAGCCGCGTGTCCCTCCTCTGGGCACCCTCACCACCCAGCTCTCTCTACTCAACGCTTATTACCATGCTACCTACCCAGCAGCAAGCTGCATTGTACATCCAAGACAATATGTATACAGTGAGCACATTGTGAGTTTCCTTTCTCCATCCCATCCTGAGTGTGAACTAATATCTCATAACCCCACAAATGGTGACCCCCGGAGATTCGCACTCACACAGGATGGAGGAGAAACTGATCACTCTCTCAGTCTTCAAGCAAC